CATTTAATTTGAGTAANACACTAATTTACCACAGAAACACGTATCAAACTAACAACATGTCTTTATCCATGCTCTCAAAATATTAAAGCATTGTGAATAGGGCCTACTTCGTAGAAAGGTAAAAAGTCATGAATATATATATGCTGCATATTACCAATTTCATGATGAAAATCTGACTCCCCCTATGAAATTTTGACTCCCCCCCAAAAAAAAACATTCATAAATCTCATTTAATTTGATCAAATGACTATGATCTTGTAGTATGCATAATGGAGGACACATTGGCACTTTTTGTTAGTTTGCAGGTGAAAATTTTCATGAAAAAAAATAAAAAATTAAAGATTTGTATTTTACCACCCAAGGACTCCCCTATATAGAAAAAGCTATTTATTTGATATTTGATTATCATTCTGACATCTTTTCTTTGATGATACTTTATGAAGAATATATTGAAAGTACTTGCAAGTTTGATGGTAAAAAATTGGGTGAAAAAAAAACACTTGAAAAATAAGAAAAATTAAGAATTTGTATTCTAACACCCAATGACTCTCCTATGGAAAAGTTATTTATTTGATATTTGATGATCATTCTGACAACTTTTCTTTTAGGATACTTTATGAAGAATATATTGGAAATATTTGAAAGTTTGAATGGTAAAATACTGGGTAAAAAATAAATGAAAAAAATTTATGGAAATCTTCATTTAATATGCATGGGATTTGGACTCCAATGGACTCCCATAAGGGAAAGGCCCCATTTTATATTTGCTGTTTTTTTTCCCCAAAACTGAATGAAAAATGGGGATTGATGATTTTAAATGGACAATAAATTTGCATTCCTTTACCCGTAGGATTTTGACTCCCCTAGTCTTTCAAATATTTCCAATATAATCTTCATAAAGTAAAAGTAAAGGAAAGGTGTTGAAATGATCATAAAATATTAAATAGATAGCTTTTTCACAGGGGAGTCACTGGGTGATAAAATGCACATTTTTAATTTTCTTATTTTTCATGTTTTTTTTTAGTTTTTTCACCCAATAGTTTACCATCAAACTTTTAAATATTTCCAATATAATCTTCATAAAGTAAATTTAAAGGAAAGATGTAGAAATGATCATCCAGTATCAAATAAATAGCTTTTTCATAAGGGAGACAATGGGCGGTTAAGTGCACATTTTTAATGTTCTTATTTTTTCATGAAAATTTTCACCTGCAAACTAAAAAAAGTGCCAATGTATCCTCCATTTTACATACTACAAGATCGCAGTCATATACTCAAATAAAATAAGATTTATGAAGTTTTGTGGAGGGGGAGTCAAATTTTCATGGGGGGAGTCAGATTTTCATGTTACAGGTCTCCCCTATAAATTACTGTGGATCTTGGGTCATAATTAAGATATATGAAGAGTCATAAAAACGCATCATTCGATTATGTTTTCTAAAAAGTAGTTCTTGTATTTTACCTGTAATTAAGCAGTATATTTTAAGAACGAGTGGACTTCAGCTGTTTCAATAATGTACTTGTAATATTTTGACAGTGAACATCTGCGAGCAGTTTTAGCCAAAATCTCTCACCTAAAATGGGCCAAACCTGTTATTTGCATAACAATACGTTGCTCGTCGTAGTTCGAGCTGTCTTCCTGAGTACTCACTCCGCAGTTGGGCACAGTTGAGTGAAGACGCAGCATTGTGTGTGGTGCATTCGCAAGTTCCAGCTTTTATAAGGCGTAGAGGCAAATATACATCGTGTGTAAGTAGCAATACTTCTTCAATAACCTCCCTCAATACGATACTAAAAGCGCAGACGAATGGAAGAAAATTTATGGTAGATATTTGTGTTTCGTTGTGATATTATGCCGATCGGTACTTGTATGTCCCTCAGAATATTAGAATGTATTGGTTACAAGGTTTTGGAACTGTAAAATAGTGCTATCAGCTGGCCATTGATGAAGAACGAAGTATGCTTGAAATCTTTAAAACTAGCTATTTAGTTCTGCGTAATGTGTGAAAAATTTTGTATGGCCCGGACATTTAAAGACGCATTTGTGACTAAAATTAACATGTTTTCATGTCAGATAGCAAAGAACACTGATTAAATTAGATAGTAATACTTGTCACAGTTCTGAGCTTTGGATACGGATAAGTCTCCTTTGACGACAATAACGATTATGATACTTTTCAGCAAAATTAAAATAACATTTTTGAGTTATATATATATATATTTGTAAACAGCACTAAGACCTTAATTAGAGCTATTTTAGCAATAAATTATTACCATTATTATTATTATTATTATTATACAAGCATTAGGATACAAACAGCTTTTATAGTTCTCATTGTAGTAGTTTTTATTAAATTATTTACTTGTTTCAGAGCAAACTTGGACAATCCATTTTTGCTTAAGTTTAACATGCTGTCAAAGATCTTTTTGTAAGGTAAGTAATTTTTAATTTAATGCAATACACATGTAAACACACGGGCACAAGCACATGTCAATTGCTCATTACACGAAGATTTACCGACTAAGTGTTTACGCAAGTTGTCTGTCGTCTCCAGTTTGCCGTATTCTGTCCCTTTATTACACGACCAACTATATTAAAACTTGATTGTACTTTCATCCGATTAAGTGCAATTTATTTAATATATTCTTAAAACCAAATGTTTAAATTAGATGTTATGTGCTTTTGTAGAATAAGTCAAAATGATCTTAGCCTGTCAGTTAAATCAAATTTTGTATGTGTTATTTTGTCATTTCAGAAAAACCGCGGAGAAACTGCGCAACATGGGCCTGCAAGCAACAAGGTCTTTGGTTGGCATATATCATACTCAATTTCATGTATATCTTATGATAAATCCGAATAAACATGTCTTTAATTCCTCGTTATTTTTTCATATTGATATAAAATAAACAGTACAGTAAAAAATGGGAAAGGGGAAAGATTACATAGGTGTGATACCTGTTTGAGCACTTTCAAATTCAATCTGTAAAAATAGTCTAATTGTCTTTGGGATTGACAGTTTTCTATGAAATCTGGGGATATTTAAAGTTGAAATGGTTTAAAAGCTTTGTTAATATGCCCAGTATTTTGTATATATAAAATCGGGCATTTAAAGTGTAACCCACTGAAAATCTATTTTTCTAATTTCTAATATTTGACATTCTAATTTTTTTTTGTAACAACATGCATGTCACCCATCAAACGGAATGGACTCGCCCTACCTGACANATTCAACAACTGCACAATAACGAGCTCATCCAATCTACTGAAAAGAGTAAACTAGAGTTCCTGCATCAGGCCTGACACATGATGATGATGATGGGGATGACCAGTAAATCGAACTTGGTGACCTTCAGTATTAAGGTCAATGACCCCAACAAGGTCAATGACCCGACAAGGTTGGTGGCACCACCATGGCCATTGCTCTCGAACAGGTTAAATACTCCAAAACACTTAAAAAAACATTAAAAGCTTTACAATTTTACAATCACCTATAAACACCAAAAAGTATATCCAAGATCAAATTTGACATCAAAAGGGAAACTTTAAATCCTGAAAACTTTCACACAATAAAAGATGTAGTAAGAAGAATCGTCCAGATGGTCCATTCTTTACTATGAATTTTTTTTGATAATGATTATAACCTTTAATATCTTCACTTAAGGATTTCTGAGCATTTAATCATTGACAAAATTCTCGCTTTGGCAGATAAGACTACAAACAGCTAACAGTTGTTTTCATGACTCACACACACAAAAAGGTTTTGATTTACTAACATGCTTATTCTAGTAGTTTGCAAATGTTATGCAAAAGAAGGTTACTCAATGGTTTGACAACTGACTTGGAACTTAAAAGAAAACTTTACTTGTCAATAAAACATTGTGTGATAAAACAACCACTAACATTCAAGTTCATTCAAACAACTACAATTCTGTTACCATGAGTCTAAAAAAGGAAAAAAAGCAAGACAAAGACACTTTACTATGAGACAGCACAACACACTACACATACCTTACAGTTAACATCTAAATTTCAACTTTGAGTTGCCAAAACAAGACAAGATTGGTGTGAGGTTCTGCTGTTTATCATATATCACCAGAAAATGTGTTCAACACATAAATACCAAGGAAATCGATAGTCAAAAAAGTGTAGAAGCAGCAAAAATGGTACATGGCTTTCCTGCAACTATGTCAAATGAGTTTTGACTGAATTGGGTTAAAGATTAAAAAAGACCAGGTACAATTAGCCAGAGTATTTATACCCATGCTAAAATAGCAGATAAATGAGGTATTGCATGAAACAAATTAAAGTGCAAATTAAAGTGACTGACCAATTCATTGAAAACTAATTCTTAAAAAATTGGTTAATTGGTGTGAAATAGGTTATTGGAAAACAGCAATCCATGCTACAATAACAAATAAAAAAATAAAAACATGTCTGGGGTTTCTTTAAAGCAGTAGTGCTTTGAGACAAAGGCGCCCTACCTAAACAACAGTTGCTTAGCAACCTAAATAAAAGAAAATAAAATGCACTTGCACATTAACATATTAATACATGTAGGGTATGCTGGAAAATTAAGACTGTGTTCTAAATTTAACAACAAAAAATTAAAGTGCTCCTCCAGTAATTGCTCTTGGAAAAAAATAAAATTACAACGTAAATGTATATGACTTTCTAAATAGCCCTTAAAGATAACAACTTTTATGACCAAAAGGAAAAAACATATTTTGGACACATTCAAGCCTCTCAATGTCAAATACATTACCTCAGTGTTTTACAAAACAGAGAAAGTTATCAACATTTTGAGCCTTGTCCATTTACCCATCTCATATCATATATGTATAATCACGATGCTTTTTACAGTCACAAAACACAGGAGTCATCAACCGAATGCAACCACATACATAATGACAACAGTCAGCTTTCCTCCAATATCAATCACAGTATAACATACGGTAGGGGCTAGATCATTTCAAACTGGAATTTAACAGACACTGTATTCTTAAAGCAATAAATTCTTCAAATTAGACAATTGAGAAGCAGGCTACCTAATAGTTCTATTCTATACAGTAAAAGCACCAAAATGCTAAAAAAAAAAGTGTATTTTTAATGATTACAAAATTATATGCGTCTGAAAAATTGAAAATTTTTCCAGGTTGAAAGGATCCAGCCATTAACGTACCACCTGGCAAAGGAGGTCACTTTTGTATCAATCAAGTTGCATTGTCTAGAACAAGGCCTGTGCATAAATAATGAGGTAACTTCAGTGTCAAGGTCAATACTTGGTGACCTTCACTCATGAATTCAAGTTCAAAACTTGTTGACCTTGACATATTTATTCAAGGTCATGACTCATTGACTAAGGGCTGCCTGTGGACCAAACAGCAGAAATCATAACAGAAACACTTATTCAGCTAACAGTTTCTATTAGTCTTGTACAAAATGTTAAATTATTTACAATTACCACTTAGGTTAATACTAAAAACATGAATAATGTCGACCTACACTTCATTGTGGATTTACTGACCTGTATTCTTATGGTCTTGGAGATATAAAAACTTTGATGTTAGTGAAATATATGACATGTTCCCAAAGTTCAAAAGCATGTCCCTCAAACTTCATTAAAAAAAAGTAGGCCATGCAACTCAAACATGACCACACCCATCTGGACCTTCACTGCCTTGAATGACCTTGACCTCTTTCGATTCCACCCACTTTGATGCTGCTTAAAAGGTCAACTTTCAAAGCACTGGCCTATTTCAATGCTATAAACATTGGCCAATCAGTAAGTCAAATCATCACCTCATCTCTACTAAGTTTCACAACCTTCAACCTTTATAAGGTCCATGTGTATATTTCTATTTACACATATTTCTATTTACATACAGAATACAGAAGTTGTTTGAAAGTATTAAGTCTTCATACAAAGCTCTCCCCTTGACTACAAACTGGAAGTTTGTTTATGGAAACCGCCCAGGCCTTGGGACGTGGCTCTGTCCCTGATGTAGAGGACATCGTCCCGTCTCCGTTTTGCGCCACTGCAGTAGCAGCGGTCACCTGTTCCTCCCGCGTCCTGGTCGGCAGGCCAAGGGGAGAGGCGCCCCGTCATACTTGACTGACGTGATTCCACATCTCCTTGGAATTGTCACTGCAGTAATCACTGTCCCCCTTCTCCTCCAGGGAGTGTCTGTGTGCACTCAACTGGATCACGTTATTTGAGGAGTCTCCAACTGCGACCATGGAGTCCTGGTGACACACGAGGCCGTTAGGCACGCTGCCCCTATCGCTGCACGCCAGTTTCAAACTCTGCATACTCTTGTTGCTGTTACTCAGATGGAAGTTTTCAAGGTTCGAGTGTTCCGAATTGTGAGGAAAGATGAACACTGTCTCCCCGGTTGCATGCCGCACGCGATCCCCTCTAACAGCAGGAGAGGAGGGCTCATTGGGCGAATGTGCTTCAACATCGCCATTAAATGACAACAGTCTTCCGTCGTGTGAGACGGAGCTGCTTTGGCGTAGCATTTGCCGTCTTCGGGCCATGCCACCGAATTTGCTTTTGACTGGAATATTGATATTGAGTGATTTGGACTCTTCCGTTATGACAGCTGACAATGGAGCATCTAAAATTGGAGTTATGAGTGTAGGATTGGCCTCAAGTATACCAATAATGTCCAAGGTGTCTGGCCTCTTGCTTTGTTCATATTCCCAGCAGGCTTTCAGTAATAATTTCCTATAATAAAGTAAGAAACCAATTACAAACTTTTAAAACTTTTAAAGCATTTTTAACATTCAAAAGATGTTTTCTTTTGAAGGAAGCCAAAACTACAGTGAAATGCTTCAATAAAACACAATCTGACAAAATTTTTCAATTTTTCCAGAAGTGTTTGCATATTTTCTAAATCATTTTTGAATTACAGTGTAAAAAAAAAAAATTCTTTCTATAATGAGTTAAGCATCATTTCAAACTGTTTTTGACTAAAAGGCTTTATTGAAAATTAAAGAAACATTAATAAGGACTAATAAGTGATGATTACTGATCACAAAATTGCCCCCCCCCCCACCCACACACAAGTAATCTGCCTACCTTCCCTTTAAATAACAACACCACATAGAATGAAAGGAAACAAGATACTAAAAGATGGTTTTAATACTTTCATATATGGCAAATTAACAGGGGCGGATTGAGACCGTCTTCTGGGTCTTCCGGAAGCCGGTCAGATTTTAAAGTTTACATTGACGGGTACATATTTTTTTCTGTCGGAAGACGGTCAAAAATGGAGGATAGATCAATATAGATAATTTGGAGGACTGTCAGAAAATATCTCTGGATCCGCCCCTGAATTAAGGACTTTTAGGTGCTTTAAAGATAATTAACGAGAATCACATTTGATACATAATACCACGTACGAGTCATGTAATATCACAAGTCATCCAGATATTTTAAAACTACCCAGTAAATTCATATAGCTTGAGGTTAATTTACATGGTTTGAAAGCACCAACATCAGGTCACACCTTCCTTATTCACGAAATTCAACTTTTGGACACTTAAAATTTACTTACAGTTTGGGGGACGCTTGGTCTGAAAGCTCCAGCGTATTTCCGTTCTTCACAAACTCCAAAACCTGATTATTGGTCAAGCCCTGATATGGAAAGCTGCCAAACGTGACAATCTCGTACAACAAGATGGCAAAACTCCAGATATCAGATTTATATGTGAATTTTCCATCTGTGAGACTCTCTGGAGACATCCATCTCACTGGCAGCATACCTATTGAGAGAAGATAAGTTTATCATATTATCGTAGATATCATATGATTGATTATAAATTTTAAAAAACAATTATCAAATCAACTATGAACTTCGAAGTTCTTTTCTTCTGACAGCGAGTAGATGAAATATTAGCGAAGTATCAGGATTGCTCCTCAAGCCATTAATTGAAAAACCTCAATATATACATCTATATTATTTTCCTTTTGGTAATCTTTTATTTAACTTCTGTAAAGTTAAGAAAACTGGTGTCACATGAATTTAGCACAAAGACCAACAAACACCATATCTTTTATGGGCTCAGTTTGTTAAACCACAAGTAAAGTTAGTAACCAAGTTTTAATAAGCTTTTGTAAAAAAGAATTAAAATGACACAATTTTGTGAAGTACAGCAAACTGTTCATAAAATCTTCATTGAAATCATACCTTTCTTGTTAAACCTGTAGTAGTCATGGTCAAAGATAGGTCTGGTCATCCCAAAGTCACCTATCTTTACTGTCTTACTCATGTGAACCAAACAGTTCCTACAGGCAAGATCTCTGTAAGAAGATTAAAAAAAAGATTTTCATAAATGATAAAAGTTCATATTAATTCAAAATAAGTCAAGTAATAAGCACTTAGAGAGGGCAAACCTCCTTCAAAACAGCCCAGCTTTCATTATTAATTAATTAGCGAATGGACCAGGACAAAAATCTTATTAATTCTAAGTTGGAGGATAAGAATATGTAGACATAACAATGTCTATACAGTACTACACATTCAACTATGTATAACAAGGAATAAGAGAGAGGCAACATTACTGACACTTAAAAATCTGGAGAATGACTTCAGTTATTTAAGGATTCTTAAGAGCTAAAACAGAATAAACTGTTTCAAAAAGTTTTTCTTTCTTAGGGCTTGATCAGACCTGCGTTTGGGTTAGGAAAGATATAACTTGAAATCAAGGAATCTGATGAATTACCAAACATGAATAGAGGTAGGGTGAAAACAAAATCTTCTAAAATCGAAGGAATTCCAGGCCTAGAAGTAGCTATACCCCTTCCAGCACCTGGAGAAATAGAAAAAAAAAAAAAAACCCTGACCTGTGTACAAAATGCAGGGCGCTCAAGTAATGGAGTCCGTGTGCCACGTCCAGAGCCATGGCGGTCAGCCTGATCGCGGACACATCCTCCGCCTCTGGGGTTGTCTTGCCGACCAGCTGTCGTCTGGCTAAGAGATATGTCTTCAGGTCACCTGAAACATAAAATATTCTTTGAAAAGATATCTCAGACACGAGCCTAGGTTTACCAAAATAAAAAGAAAACCTCTGAACATTTAACATGAGACCAAACACCTAGCCTTTGGGTTTTATATCCTCTGAGGTCATGTAAAAACAAGAAATTCCATGATTCCTCGGAAAAAAAACTTATGTTTGATATGTGATTTGTTTGAAGTCAATTGCTTCCATCTGACTACATCTCAAATCCTTAATATTTATCTTAAAATCCAACACATTGTACCACTTTATTCAAGATAAATAAGCACAAATAAATCCAGTTTAAACACTTTTTCATAAAAATGGCATTTTACAAATTTTTGAAAACACAATGCAAACTTGAATCAAAGATTTTTTTCACATGATAAATAAAGCACTGTCAGCCCCCCTCCTCTCTTTCTCTCTCTCTTTCTCTCTGTATTACCATATAACATGAACTCCATGACAGCGTAGGCTGGCTCTCCCCTGGTGCAGACACCTAACAGCCTGACAATGTTATCATGGTTGAACCTCTTCATCGTCTCTGCTTCACTTAAGAAATCAAGCTGAAATATAGAGGGCCCTTTATGCCTCACGCTTGTTCTTCTGTTTAGGTTTTATACTAGTACTACAGATTTTCAGGCGTATTGATTGTTATAAACTTGTTACATATGAGGTGCAGTCAGCTCAAAAATCCCAATGAAAACACCTGAAAACTGTGGCATAAAAAAAATCTAATATGTTTTGAAGGTAATACATAGACATTTTTTTTTTTTTTTGAGAAACAGTGGAATTTATCACATTTTTTATTGAAATGCACTTATGGATATTGCAAGCGAAACCGCACCATAAATATATTGATAATGACTTGATCTCATTCTCGGTGCCCTGGGCTCCGTATCTCGAAAGGTTCGCTATGTTGCGCACGTGCGTTAGTGTCTCGATTCCATAACTGATTCTTTTTCGAGATACGGGGCCATGGAATCGAGACACTTGCTAACGTGCACAACATAGCGAACCCTCCCTAACTCACCTTCTCCTCCACAGATGAGCCAATTTTCAGCGTCTTCACTGCCACTGCTACCCAGCTGTCATCTATGAAGGACTCTCCGCCGTACACTGTTCCAAATGCTCCCTCCCCGAGCTTGCGATTCAGCACAACCTTGTCTCTGGGGAGCTCCCACTCATCGAGGGACAACCAATTCAGGGTGTCTGAGAGCAGACCCAGCTCCTCCATCCTCTCCCTGGTACGGCGGAATTTCAGGTCGTATCTAAAATGTAAGCACCAACGACTATAAGACAAATTAATTCAAGTGAATTAAATGGACCCTTTTTCTATCAAAATATGTAAGAGAGCCATACACTTGTAATTATTTTAGAAGGAAATCTATTTGCAAAACAAAGCTTGCAATATGATAAGAATCTGCATTAAAACACTAAATAAAAAAAAAAAAAAACACCAATCTGACATTCCAACTAGAATCACATCTCACACTTAGTGGTAGCTACCACATCTCGCATTCAAATTCTACATTCTTAACAGATCAAACCAACTAATACCAACATTGCTCACAATAATCTGACACCCAAAAGCATGCCAATAAAGAATATCACAAGACACCATTGCAAATCGCAATGTTTAGCTCAACTAACAAATTCTACAATATTATGCTCAACTACCACATTCTAAATTCCACAAAAAACACATTCAAACCAGTAGAGTAATCTATCTTTACCTTCTTTTAATGATAGAGAACACCACGATCAGCAGCATGATAAGCAGACCAAACCCTATGATGTTGGCTATCACCAAAGCCACATCGCAGGACACCCCAAGAGCTGCACGGAAATCCTCGATGCTGCACACTGGCTGATTGGAATTTGCTACAATTTATAAAAAGAGTTGGTATCTATCTTTGGGAAAATGAGAAAATATGGGAATTGTTTTGGATGGTTTCAGCAAAAAAAGTTGTAGTGAAGCTGAAAGAGGTAGGCGCCTCAAATGCAGGAGAGAGAGAGAAAGAGAGAGGGAGAAAAGAAACTTAGCCACTCTACTTTCTATTTAAAATTATATATCTTTTATGTATAATCACTTCAAAAATCATAAATTTATGCATAATGTTGTCTACAATAATAAATCTTTCTACCTTGGCGACCGTCTGGAATCTTCCCACCAGGCCACAGCCACGTGATATCTTTCTCCTCAAGATCCAGTTGTTTGGGTAAATATCGCCCAATCACACGAGACTTGTTATGAATCAACTGTTTTATGAGCACAATTCCTGACCTATCAGCTTCCTTAAAAAATATCTGCCCTGACACACCTTGGAAGTGGACCTTGCTGATCTCATCGACTAATTTTCTTAAAAAGAAACGTGTTCAACATATTTTAGAAAAAGGACTATGAAAGAGACATTACAAACAATATATCAGATATGATTACTAACACAGTTCAAAATTCAAGTTTCTAGAATCTTATGCCAAGTTATAATAAAAGCATTCAGGCCTAACATTTCCAACATAACAGCAACTTTTACTGCAAATTCACTACAGATTGTTTTACTAGTGACTTGTACCTCAATCAATTCTGGTTTCAAAAAAAATCTAAACATGCCTGCACCAAAGCACATAAAGTCTGTCCAGACGCAGTGTCAATTTCTTTTCTTTTTAGCCAAAATGTTCATTAGCTTGGTAGTTGTATCATAAATAAAAATTATCAAACACAAGCCAAAAAAAAGTTTTATACCAGTGGCTTTTTTTATCTTTTTTTTTTTTTGTGTTACTTACTTGGCATTTTCCTTATTAGTCAGGTCTCCCAGCACTGCAGGAGATTTACTCAGTAAACTGTCCAGAGCCTTGCCGTACACCCAGACAGCATCATAGGCATATGTCACGTGGGGGTTATCTTTGTATCTTTTATGCTGGATGAAAATTATAACAACAGCATCAGCGTTTGCAGTCAGCTAGGGTGGGAGAACCATTTTTAATTGCTTCATCAAAATCACTCAATAAAATTTCAAGCAAAACAATAATACAGACAAATTATCTATTTAACACAGATCTACATCATCAATTTGGAAAAAGCCATGACTTTCTAAAATTTAAACATTCAATTTTCAATCCACTCTGTAGTCTGGTCGAAAAGTCAAATAATGCACAGGGTATATATAATGAGAAAAAGATTGTATTGAAAATGAGGTCCATTTCTTCCACTTCAAATATATATATATATATATATATCACTGCCTAATGCTGAATTTACATGTAGCTAGCCATACTTATTGTAAAGACAGTGGAATCTTAGTAAGGTAAAAAAAAATCTACTAACTTGTCCCAGGTGTCTCTCCAGTTCTTTCTTCCACTTGGCGACGGTCATGTTACCCACCACCTTCACATCGTCGCGGTCATACATAGCATGGTTGATGGAGATGGAACCATTGACGGCCTCCAACATCTCCTTGGTGGTACACACTGTTTTGTCCCTGTCTCTGTAGTAGTCCGTGTCCCACCATTCCTCCCCCAAATATCCCGTCAGGAACCACTGGAACCCCTTGAAGGCAGTCATGTCCTTGAAACGAGGGGAGAAATATGAATGAAAAATAGTGAGATTACATGTACAAAGCTATAGGTCTTGTCCAATCTGTTTTAAACATTATGGGCAAATTCAAAGAGAAAAAGGAGAAAAAAATGCTTGGTTAGATTAGAAAATTTTTCAAGATTTTCAGATGCTATTGTAATGCTAAGAACATAACTTTGTAAAATCTTATTTCTGATATAAGTTTATAATGTTAGTGATGCTGCTGGTGAGGAGGCAATCCTGATGTGACTTGTTTTGTCACTGGAGATAATTATCAGAAATAGCTCTAATCAAAATAATGCCCAAGGCCTTATTCAGAACAGTGGACTAACTAGGCTGAGAGCCAACTTAGACTATGGTTGACCAGTGTCTATTAGCAGATTAGAGTGTAAGCTTTGTGGTGGGTCACCATAATTGACCCTCGGACTAGTTAGTCCACTGTTTTGAGTGTGGCCTCAGATCTAATCACTTAATACGAAAACGGAGAAAAAAATCTAAATCATGACTTTAGTTTGAAGTCACATTAACCAATCTAAATCTCAACCTAGATTTAACCTCATATTACGGAAAGTGAGAAGAAAAAATATCAAAATAATATCTCAAGTCAGCCATCACATCATGATTTAGGTTTAACCTTATACATTAAGTACGCTCCTACCTTTCTATACGCCTCACACATGACATCTTGAGCAATCGTCATTTCGTAGAAAGTGCCAATTATAATTCTGCCATTTTTGGATTTGATCTCTTCCAGCATCTGAAAAATTTGAGCAAAATATATGAATGCACATTCAAGTTCTTAACTATGAAAATATGGATTTTTTTTTTAATCAAATTACTAACATCTTTAAGTGATTTAGTGATTAATCCAGACTAGGTAGTGAATTATCCCTTTTTTCATTTTCCATTTTTCAGTGCATAAACCAGAGCTTGATAACTACACAGTAATTGCATCTGGTGTGATTGCCTTATATTTAATTATTTGAATACTTTCGAGTAATAGACCCAGAGTGACACAAGTTTTAAAACTCCCACCTTATTCTTTCTCTTAAACTTCCTCAAATTATTTCTGATCTCACTGTGCTTTGTCAAGATTTTCTTGTCATATACACATTCTCTGGTGTAGCGCTAGCAATTTTTTTGGCTTAGCCAAATCACCACTTTTTTTGTCAATTTGTTATCAAAATTGTTATAATTTGACTAAAACAAGTCAAATCAGGCCCTTTTTCTTTAGCCAATTTAAGTCAGTTTTAGCATTTGGCTAAATTGGCGAGTGTTAGCGCTACCCCAGATTCTGATGACACTTACCATTGGGATATTTCTCTTGCTACGGTCTGCCGGGATTTTCTTTTCATACACTATCTTGATGGGGTTGTCAAGACTCAGATATTCCTCTGCCTTTTCATAAGTCAGCACAGCCACCTGTTGCCAGTCCAACAGCTTAAATAACTCTGCATATACATTGCTGAAACAAAACAAGCAGCAAAGCTGTAAAATGTACAGCATTAAGAGCAAATAATGATGCACAAAACTGATACTTTGTTAATTCTGATACAATGCCTGTACAAAAAAAAGATTTCCATATTTCCAAGTTAAAAAAAAAAAAGATTGCGTAAGCTTTTTTCAAGTAGAGCTTTCAGCCAAAGCCAAAAGTCTTAGACATTTATCAAAAGCGTTATCTATTTTCCATGATAAGAAAGCCATGAAAGTAGCTCATTCTTGGAAGCTTGAAGCCAGTCTCAAATAACAATGTTCGGAATTTCACAAAAGTGATTTTCTGCATTTATTTGCTTACCAATAATAAATCCTATATCAATTTTCTTGTATTCTTTAAAATATCTATTTGTACATTTTTCTTTTGAAATCTAATGGTCACCGCCCTTATTACCCCATTAAGAAGGGATTCAGAACAGTAGACTAACAGATCCGCAGATCAAATATGGCCCGCCCACTTCAATGTTTGCTGCATAATCCCTGCTGAGAATCTATTCAGTGTCGAATCAGGACATAAGTGGCAAGCTTTTTAGTAGCCATATTTGATCCAAGGATAAGTCAGTCTGCTGTTCTGACTGCACTCTAAGGCCCCATTCAGAATAGGGGACTAACTAGTCCGAGGGTCAAATATGGCAACCCACTACAAAGCTTGCCATCTAATCCCCTTATAGACACTGAACAGATATCCTGTGGAGAAGTATTCAAGTTTATAAGACCATATTTGACCCTCGGACTAGCTAGCCCCCTATTCTGAATGGGACCTAAGAGTGCATTCCCATAGATTTAGATTGATACATCTAGATCGACCTAACTCCCTGGGGGTTCACGCTAAATTGATGTCAGCCGAGCGTGCACGGTAGTTAATTACCCCCTTACAGCTTTTAGTAGGCGGGACAGACCCTTAAGCCGGCTAAGCTGACAGTAATCTAGTGAGACTCCCCACAGGGATAGATCAATCTATCCCTGTGGGAATGGGGTCTAAGATAACTCGAGCCCCTACCTGTACTCGCTGACTGGTGGTATGGTTCTAAAGAAGTATGGATAATGGAGTCGGTTTCCAAGATGGATGCTGCCTGCACTGAAGCTAATCATCACAGTGTCATAGGTGGTGGTAAGGCGCGCTATGGGACGCACAATATCTGCACAGTCTGGGCCTGAAATCAGACAGGTTATTAATGTGTGTGTGTGCACATGTGGGTGCGTGCATGTGCATGCACCAGTGCATTTGTGTGTGTATGAGTGCATACGGGTATATAAACTAGAGGATCAGAGAGGCGATACCGCCTCCGGATATTGTACCACCAGCTGGAGTAAGCGCATTCGAATGGAACCACCCCTCCCCACCCCAAAAAAAAGAACACCACAACCAGTCTTGTCCTTGACAAGCTCTATGCAATTAACAAGAATTTCCAAAATATGCAGAAAAAAAAATGAAAAAACATAACATAAAAATGGTCCAATCAAGTGGATTTTCCAATTGGCCTGTATTTTCATAAACATTGATCACTCCTGTGATTTTCTAGACAATAGGCCTATTGGTTTTCCTTGAAATATGTTATCAGTGTTGCATATATGCTGACAAAAGAGAAAACATAAGGGCAACACTGAGCATATCTCTGCTAGTTTTGAAGATATGAGGGGCAAGAAAATATGCAAAGGTCAGTTCATGGTATATGATTTCCTATTCAAGTTAATAGTAACTATGGTTATCTCCTTACTAATTTTGGAGATAAAGAGGCCAGAAAACATGCAAAGTACAGTTCATCATAAAAAGTAGGTCAAAGGTCAATTTCAAGGTCACAGATTGCCAGTATTTGATTTCCTGTTCAGGTTCAATAGTAACTATGGGTGTATCTCTGCCAGTTTTTGAGATATAAGGGAGAAAATTTTTGCAAAGTTCAGTTCATGGTGAAAAGTAGGTCAAAGGTCAATTTAAAGGTCACAGTTAGATTGCCAACAGTAACTATGGACATATATCTGCCAGTTTTAGAGATGTGCGGGCCAGAAAACATGCACAGTTCATAATAAAAAATAGGTCAAAGGTCAATTTCAAGGTCACAGTTAGATTGCCAGTATATGACTTCCTATTCAAGTTCAATAGTAACTATGGACATATCTTTGCCAGTTTTGGAGATATAAAGATCAGCAAACTTGCAAAGTGCAGTACATCATGAAAAGTAGGTCAAAGGTCATTTTCAAGGTCACAGTTAGATTTTCAGTATATGACTTCCTATTCAAGTTCAATAGTAACTAAGGGCTTATCTCTGCTAATTTTTGAGTAATTCACATTTTATTTTTACCACTGAATTTTGATGCTGAACTTTTTGATATAGTGCAATCAAAAACAAATAAATGGACACCACCCCCAGTGTTGCCCGTGACAAGTTCTACAAAATACAAAAAACAAGAGGTCTCTAGCATTAATGGTTCCAGAATTAGAGAGAATTTTCAGTTTCGGCATCTAATGGCTGCTATTACCATGAAAATGCACCGATTGACCCCAAACTCACGAAAATGAAAGATGACCCTAAGGGTAACACCTGCCAATAATATTATAGGTAAGATCTGTTTTGTTTCTTAATATCGGCTGAAATAAAAGTTTTCTCGCAAAAAATTACCATTTTTAAAAATTTTTGGCCCGTTTGACCTTGAAATAAAGGTCAAAGGTCAAATCCAAGGGCATATTTGAAATCCTCACATATGACTTTCGGTCAGCCATCTGTAGTAATTTTTCCCATAATTCCATTGGTTTGGGAGATATTTAGCATTGAATTTTCAAAATTTTTGACAAGGGTCCATTTCAACAAGCGTCATGCCCAGGTCAATGCACCAACTGAGACAAAAAAACCTGGGGGTTCAAGTTGAGATTATATGTGACCTAAATCCAAGAGATGGGGACACAGGTCCTTGTGGTCTAGGAGGAGAAGCGGTAACGGTGACTCGTATCCCACGTCATCCTGCGGAGCCGCAGGAGCCGCAGGAGCCGGCGGAGCTGTACGAGACGGGTCGGGACTAAAACCATGAGTACCGCCAGCGTACACGCTGGTGGTACTAATTAATGTGCCTGCATGGGCCTTTAAATAGTACTTACTGTAGTTTTATGAGAGACAATGGTGTTACAGCTTACATCAAACTCTTTCCTGCTACATCTGCATGCATGCGCACCTGTGTGCGTATGAGCGTAAGAATGAATGTTTATGTATATGAGTCTACATGGAAGGATCTGTATGTATTTTGATATGGTACTTAAATGGCTGCTAAACAGGTATGTGCATATGTAGGTATGTATATGAGTGTATATGAGCAAGTATGTATGAGTGCGAGTGCACCAATGTGACGTGGAGATAAGAGCAGATGTACCTGCTTTTTTATTTAAAATGTCATTGCAGGAAAACAAAAAAGGCTTCACATCATGTGTTACAAAAAGGTTTTCCAGTTCAAGCATGGTGGTTACTTTCATAAGGTTTCTGTGCTGGCCCTGGCTTCACAAAAAAACTTAGGTCAGGTACCCTGGCTAAGAACTGAATTTTCAAGGCTACATCTTACCCTATTAGAAGCAGGGTAACAGCTCTCTCATGGAAATCCTAGTCAACTAAGCCAGGGAACTGACTTCAGTTTTTTTTTTTTTTTTGTGAAACTGGGGCCTGAACTAGATTTATGTAGCCAACTCACCAAGGATTCCTGCTAACTTATAAGTGGAATTATAGTGCATCTCTATGAAGGCTTTCTGTCCTTCCTTAAGTCCACACTTGGTGTCGATTTTAACCACCTCTAATTTGTAGTTCTTTAGCAATGACGTGTCGTTATTGATTAAATCAGCAGCCATTTTGGAAGCTGAAAAGGGAGGAAAATCAGGTTTGAGTTATACACTGTGACTAATAACAAAGAGAAGCATTTAAATGATATAGTCACTGAAAGTTCTTTTTATACAGAGGACAAGAAAACATTTTTTAGCAAATTAAAGAAAGTGTCTAAAATTCATGAAGATACCAATAGAACCAATTGATTCAATGTCTCAAAAAAGTGATCTCTCAATAACTAGCAACATTTAATTCTTGAAAAAGGGTCATTCTGCAACATCCACCCTCCCCACATGACCATTTATGCACCATCAAAACGTCATAGACTTATAGCATTACAAATTACTTTCAAGGTTGCTGTTTATAAGATGAAGTAATTTCCTCATGCTCCCTTTTTCGTAGGATATAAAAATGTCAATTACGTTAATGTTGGAGAGTATTCAGAACAGCAGACTAACAGATCCACGGATCAAATATGGCGACCCATTCAAAAGCTTGTCGCTTATTTCCCATGAGACACTAAATAGATTCCCTATGGGGTGTATGCACCAGCATCCCAGTGGGTTGGCCACATTTGATCCACAGATCTGTTAGTCTATAGATCAACTCTGCTGTGAATGTGGCCTTACACAGTGGGGAAAGCGCCATGGAATTGCCCAGTGATATAATGTTCGAAACACATGAGGTACTTGATGAGTAATACTATTTCACATTGTGGGATATCACTGATCTGTAAAACATACATGATCTCAGGGTGATGCACAGCTGGTGAACAGGAGAACAATATGCAGTTAAATGAACTTATTTCGGTGGAATCTGGAAGCTGCAGTCTAATTACCAAACTGTTTGTGTGCTCGGCTCCCTATATCATAATATATACATACAGAAATAATCAAATTCTACTACAATGACTATTACAGCTTACCTACGTAAACACCTGGCGCAAAATAATGACGGCGTGACAGTGAAAACATTCCCCCCAGATATATCTTGGTTTTGTTTGCCAAATTTTCCGGAATCCATTGCGACCAAATGTGGCTGTTCTTCTTTACCCACTGGCAAGCCACCTCTTGGTAAGCGCCATTAAAATGGACATCTATGTGCTCAAAATCTTGTAATAGTTCCATATACTGCTGCTGGGTGAAAGTCATTTTCTGGATAACATGGAATGCAGGTTCGGCGTCCTTCTCTAACTTCGGCCACACTACCTTGGAAAGCTGGTTGATCTCAAAATCACAGTCAATGGGATGTTCCAGATATCTGGTGCATCGAGGGAATTTGATATTTGTGTAGTTGTTGCTGGCTGTGAGTTCGCTGGGCGTAAAGTGGAAGAATAACGTCGGTTTGCCTTTGATCGTCCTCTGATGTACAAACCGTTCCAGCCTCTTGCCGACCCAGGCAACTTTTACACTCAGGTTTAAATTGTCTATCTGGTTCTTCAGGGTATCCATATCAGAGTCTGAAAAATTTTTTTTTCAAAATTTAATTGCTGCAAACATTTGATTCTTTATAAGTAAAATTTAAGCAGCTTCTTCTTAAAACTGGAAAAAATATCTCCAAAAAATGCAGGTTCTACTGTACAAATAGAAAGACCTAATTGCTTATCTTAAACTAGCACATACCGTACATTATCTTTTTAACTCATTTCTTTCAAAAACAATGATCGTATAGTTTAGTATGTCAGATGTAGCAGTTCACTTAAGATCACTGAATATGTAACTTGAGTAAGTAGTTATTGAAACTAACTGAAATCACTGGGGGCTGCTTTTTCTTGTGTTTTAGGACAAGTTTTATGCTGGGGCTATGTGCCTGCCATAGTGATAGGTGGGTGCACTTATTAGCTGGATCTTCTGATTGTGCTAGTTGAGACAAGTTGTGCAATTGGTTGAGACCGCTTGAGGGCAAGTAAAATGCAGGGCAGATCTTCAAAATGAATCGTAAAACTGCACTGAAGCCACGAGGAACTGAATGCTGTGTGTGTGTGTGTGTGTGTGTGTGTGTGTGTGTATGTATGTGTGTGTGCACGCGTGCAAGCTTTGATTTGAAAATTTGACACTTTCAGGCATCAAGGCAGGATAAAATGCTGGCAGATGGAAAGGTGCTAGGGAAAAAGGATAGAAATATTTTGATAAACATTGCCACGAAAATCTGCTTTGCAACCATGTACAGTGTTTCTAGATCCAATAAATAAGTAAATAAATAAATAGAATATGGGAAAGGGCAAATCCAAGAAATGCTCTTTTTAATCCTTTGAAAATACAAATAGGACACTGTAGCAATGTTGAAAAAAATATTTGAGACGTGTTTTAGCTTTATTAAAACTTAATTAGTACATGTAAAAGAATGCAGTTACTTATAAATTTATTGTCCCACTGATCAGGTTTTTGAGCTTCTCCTTTAAAAAAAAAAAAAAACAGTATAAAAAGAGTGAAAATGATATGAGACAGACCTGAACCATTATATTTACCCATACGAAAAAGTCCTTTCTATAGGAAACAGGCCCAATTTCCTATAGGATACTACAGGATCTTATAGGATCCTATAGGACTTTTTCGTTAGGGTAAGCATAAAGAGAAGCATAAAGGGGGCCAGCTTGTTTAAAAATAATAAATAAAATAACTTTAAAGTATCAACCTTAAATGGTACATCCTTTCACGTCTTATTTTTAACTGTGACAACTACAAAAGTGATTACAGGTTAATCTTAGGAAAGATGACACTACACAAACTAACTGCAAAAGAATTGATCACATTGGAAGAGGACCAAGAGAGAAAACACATTCTATAGAGAAAAAAGTAAAATGTTTACAGAATAGAACAGTTTAACAGGTTTCGCAGTAATTAGACAGTCATAACAAAAAACCATCTGATTGATTCAACACCATATATCTTCTCCAACACACTCTACTCCTAATCTCTTTATTTTTGCGCGCACACACACACACACACACACACACACACACACACACACACACACACACACACGTGCATATTTTGTGCAGCTAGTTCAAACCATCAGCAAAACCATAGCCACCGTTTTTACATGACCTTAATACATACCTACGCTATCTGACACCAATACAGCGCATGGTTCAGAACCACAGGTGGCACCACTGTACTGTCCCTGAGAGCAGTATGGCGCGCTGCAGTAGTAGCCAGACTCTTCTTTACCTAAAGTTTCTGTTTTACGCACCAAATTGAGAAGCTCGTTTCTTGCATCGCTTAAGTCCAAGAGCCTGGTGACACTGCTAGACTGCAGCGCCCTCCAGTGGTCTGTGATGAGATTACGCTGGATCCAGTTTTGCTTTACAAAGAAATTTGGAAGGTACCACCCATACCTGGAAAATCAAAAAAAGGGCATAAGCAAAATTTGAGGTAAAGCATGATTTATTAAACCAGTCTGAAACAATTTTTTTTTTCATCAAAGCAGTTGTAGCAATATATGCAAGAACATTCTTGAGTCTATTCCTGGACAATTAATTGTGACTATCACAATGTTACGTTCTCCTTTGCACGAACTTTGGCTAGCCATCAACAGTTCAGTTTGAGGTTCACTTGAGCCACTATCTGACATCACTGATATCATCTCAACTGAATTTCTCATTATCTTCATAAACTTTCAAATATCTTGTCACGTACCTCCCAACAGGGCCTAGTGGCCCGCAGTCTTTGACATGGTCATTGTCAGCCCATGGTTCCATGTTAAATCCTGCTGGCATCCACACCTCTATGTTCACCATTGTCTCGGGAATGTCCTGGCGCCGAGAACAACTGGGAATGGAAACACTGTTTGTTAGTTTTTTTTTTTTTTTTTTTTTTTTTTTTTTTTTTTTTTTTGGGGGAGGAAGGGTAAAAATACACTTAAACACATTTTTTCATAGTGTATTGCATGGAAATACATTCTAGCTCTCTGTATCAAAATATTACCGAGTTTTAGGCTATTACTGCCAATATTATCACAAATTTCAAATAGTGAAGTCCTATTGTTGATCATGAAAGTAGCAACAAAATATACCAACTGAAAACAATGTCATACATCTGTTAAAGTGCTAAAAATAACTAGAAACAAAGTACTACAACAAAATCATCAAAAATTGTCAATTAGTTTACCAAGTCAAACAATGATAACCAATTATGAAAATGAAATGGAGTGAAGATTGCAGCTAGTTATTTGTTCCACAGAGAATGTACATACTGGGTGTTGCTCTCTGCCCATCTGACCATATTAGACAATGCAAAGGCTGAGCTCTGGACAACATGTGGGGATGGAGACTGAAATAAAAATGTCCGTGACAGAGTAACCTTATACAAGCGACAGCCATTCAATTAAAAAAAAACAAAAAAACAAATGCAACATCACAGATCAAGTCATTTAATGAAGTTCATTTATTACAGGTATCAGCCAAACGATTGAGAACACAAGTTAAGTAAAATATATAATAAACAGATCCGTACCTTCAGTAAGTTAACCAGTGGAAGGAGAACTCCTTGTGCTTTTAACAAATCTCTGCACTCTGGTCCATCTCCTGCCATGTTTCCCACAGCCCAAGCACACTGGTCCTGAACAGCACAATAATATCAGAACATGTCAATGTCTATCTATCTTGACTTTATGGAAAGGATGTACACATTATTAATGTCAAGCAGACACAAAAACACACATATGAGCATTTATATATGCTATAATAATAATAATAATAATAATAATAATAATAATAATGATAATTATTATTATTATTATTATTATTATTACAATAAACTGATCTGCTAAACCAGGAAATTGGTTGGTAAGTTTTACTATCATATTTCATCATTGGCACAGCACAACAATGCATGCATACAAAACGTTATAGTATCACTATCTTGTCAAGCTTTGATCTTTGATGTGTACTACATAATGTAAGGAATTTGGTAAAATTTATGAGCATCATGTAATTGGCAAGTATTTGACTCGGGGAAAAGAATTTAATTGGTACCTGACATTATGAAAGAGTTTTGAAGACTACATATGACAATAAAATAGCCAGGTTGAATAGGACTGATAACACGAGTAGTGAAGCTTAGAACACTGCCTTTGAGCATCAGCTGCACTGATGTTAAAAGCTTTTGAAGATCATAAAGGTAAATAACAATTCAATGACCTGTAGGTGTGGATTGCTGCCACTGAGATAAGTGATGAGATATGGAGCAGCAGCTTTGGTAGCCTGCAGGGCTTGCTCATGTGTGCCTGCAGCTATGTTGGTCACACACCATGCTGCCTCCATCTGCAGATCTGAATCATGGCCACTCAGCACTCCTACTAAGTGCTGCAGAGCATTGTCAGTTCTGGGCAATGAAAAAAAAATGTATATAATAAAATGTATGTACACATTCAACAAGACATTTTTTTTGTCATTGATACAAAAAATTGCAATATGCCCAATCATAAAAATTGTTGCATAAAAATGTTAACAATTTAGACTAGATCAAAATTTAAAAGCTAAGTATAAAGAAACACAGATTTCAATTTCCAACCAACTCTTATGAATTTGAATTTCTTTCACTTGAGTAAATAAATGATTTCATTCAAATTCTGCCTCACCTCATAAAGTCCTCTATAAACACACTTCCCTGAGAAAAAGCCTTCCTCAATATTTTAAGTGAATCTTTGACAGATGAATGATCTTGCAAAAATGAAGCACATGCTGTTTTCATCTGAAAATGAAAAGGCTCACATCTGTCACTATAAATGTCAAACAGCTGTTGTGTCATAATTATCAGACCCGTGGCCAGCCATTTCAAAAAGGGGGGGGGAGGGGGACTTTTTTCTGAAAAAGCCTTGAACATGAAACCATTGTTCATCTGGATCAAATTTTACCGAGAGCTGACCATTTTCTGGCAAAAAGGGCAGTTTGTTCAAACTCCGAACTCTCCCTTGGCTACATTCCTGCTTATAAAAACTTGTAGGCTGTAGCATATAATGAAAATTTGTAATTATGTCTTTTAAGGGGTTGAAAGATACCGAGGAATATACATATATCTGATTCACAAATTACATATGAAAATGACATATATTACACTGCAAAAGGGCAAATCAGAAAACATAGTAGTACTACAATATGAATTTAGAATTACCTGATCCAAAGTAATTTCAACTTCTTCGTCTGCATTATCTAATCTCACTCTCTTGGCATCTAGGGCCTTTGCCTTTCTACTTTTACGTAACTCTAGAGTAGAAAGAAACTTTTTAAATGCAACATTTTCAAATTTCTAAATTTATTAGAAAAATCAAGGGTGGAATCTTCTGTGAAGTTAAACAACTATCAAAACAAAACAAAGGCAGCTTTAATAATAAACCTTGGATACCGTGCCCGAGAATGAAACATTTTATTCCAAAAATAATTTTGTTTGAAATAACTTACCATAAATATTGTCTGGATAGTGAGAGATGAGTGTTAAACCTACTGTCGCCATGAATTCTACTGTTCGCTTTAATGCGATTAGTTAACAGAGACCAATGGCATGACTCATATTGGCATTCTCAAGCAATGACTGCAATTTGTCAGAACAAATCCAAACAAAGATGACATACACGTCTAATTTATTTATTCTTACCAATGTCTTCTTGTCTTCGTCTGTCACGAAGATCATCAGGAGTATGTGAGTGGTGTTTATATTGCTGTCGGTGGTCCATACCGTCAAGATTTTATTATAATACTAAAAGGACGCAAGAAATCCCGTGGGCGCTGCCATCTTGAATTGTTTTACCTTATGCTTGAAAATTAAAGAAAACAATGTACCCATTTGTCGAGAGGCACTGCAATACAATTCTCAGTGAATCATAAGATCCCAGTTAATTGAAAAATATTACTTTACCTAATAATATCTATACCTCTGCTGTTCATAGCAAGAAAAACAATAGTAGAACATTTAAATTCCGGCTTGGATCAACTGTGGTAAAGCGCTTATTTCAACTTGGCCATCTTGTCTGTGTACTTCACTTGTCACAGTCTCAAATATCAACACCATGGTAAGTTAGTCAAAGAGGCATTGATTGAACATAGACTTTGAGTCTATTTTACAGACCTTATCGTACATCGTCTCATCTTTTTACTAATCGGAGCCGAAGGTTAATATGAAACGATGCTTTTTCTAAATTTTAGATTGGTCACTAACATCACGCTCGGCTGTCACCTTGATTGGATAGTAAGCGATTGTCGTAAAATCGCTAAATGATATAAAAACCGGGTGCATAAACTTGGAAACCACCTAGGACAACCTTGGACTGCCACATTAATCCAATACAATGCAAAAATAAACTATAACAAGTGGTTAAAGCCTTCAAACCGAATGTCGTAAAGTCCCCATATACCTCCATAGAGACAATAAAATAGAGTCAGCTTGTGAAACAAAAATAAACCAACTTAAACATAATAATCGAAATAAAATACTGCCGGGCATCGGAGCGGCCTAAAACTTGGCACGCTTACCGCAAATACTGCAGGCTACATCATCCCGTCGCTCGTTTGTAAATTCCGTGCATGGCATACGCACAATCAAACCGTATATCCAAATTGCACCTCTGATGTTTAAATTGGTCCTCTCTACAATCCAATTCAGGAAATGACGTAACCGCAGAGGTCGCATTGTCCAATTGCATGGCTTCTTTTTCATAATGGTAGGTTAGAGCGTGACTAACATGAAAATGTTATAACTTAGACTACACCATTTGAAATAAAACCACGCAGTTCAGTTTCTAATGCGGGCACCTGATAGGTTTTATAATGATATCCCAGTTACACGTATAACGGTATTTGGTAAAATATTCTCTGAATACAGTTCTTCATGTTGCCCATTTGTGTAAGTTGCACTATTGGTGGAAGGGGGCGTGGTTATTTCAATACTGGGTAGTCATTCTGCTGTATCTCCTCCTTGGTTGTCTACAAGTTAGGTTGCTGTGAAATGATACACAGGCTGTGCTGAACAAATTTCTGAATTCCAGAAGTATACATTGGAAATTGTTTCCTATCGGACACAAATTCTCTAATAATCAAATTGGCCATGCAGCTTCTTTTGTACAGCTAAGATCTAATAGATCTTAGTGTACAGTAATTTCTTTTATGCGGTTATTTCCTTCCTGGCAGGAAAAATATTGTGTCAATATTTGACCTAGCTTGTGCATTCAAAAGTCCATTTTTGGTTTCATTTGTGGTGTTTAATTTCATGGTAGCTTTGCTGGTAGCCATCATGATGGATCTTACCTTAATCTTGGCTCTGTCAAGTTTAGTAGGCTAAAACAGTCCAGTTTCAATGGAAATTAGTATGAATAATTCAATACAAATGCAATACATGTAATACAAATTAAAATTAAAATTTCACTTCAAACCAATCCCTATACAATGATCTAACAACTGTCTTTAAAAAATTAAAATGTGCGATTTAACACCTACTTTACGTATGTTTAACCAAAACTGTATACTTTATTTGATTTTAATTTCTGAACTATTAGTCAAAGAAGAGGGGATTAAGCCTTGAAGAAAAAAGAACAAGGATGATGGAATTTTTCTTTGAAAAGGTATGTACCCTTGCATGTTATTGTACTTTGAGTGTAATATTTAAAGGTATTTTATATGTCCAACTCATACCTAGAACCTAGACCAAATTTTAATTCAGATTGTGTTATTTTTTTATCAATTATTAATTTTTCTCTATAGAAAAAGTTTGGAATGTTTTATAAGTAGGCAATATGTTGATCAATATCAAATGGTCATTTTTTTTTCAATTCTGAAATTTATTACAACCATGTTATTAATCTTTATATTTAATGTACTTAGTTCCGCAACAATTTTTTCTTCAATTGCAGAAAGACTGTTTCCAGTTAAAGGAACTAGAAAAACAATGTCAAAAAGAGAAAGGGATCACCTCAATGTCAGTAAAAGATGTTCTTACCAGCCTTGTTGATGATGCTATGGTGGATACAGACAAAATAGGAACTTCAGTTTACTTTTGGGCTTTTCCAAGTAAAGCCAGTCAAAATGTAAGTATTAGTTTATACGATTAGCATGTGAGTTACTAAGGCAAAGAATGACATAGTTTATATCTTGAATTATAAAATATGTCAGAATTGAGTTTTTTTTTTTCCAGAGAAAGAGAAAATTGAACGATCTTGGCAAAAATTTAGAAGAGTTAGAAAGGAAAAAGAGTAACTTGGCAAATGCTATTTGCAAAGCAAAGATGGGGAAAGAGGAAAGCGTAAGTAACCTTAAGTTTCCAACCACTTTGTAGGTTTTGAACTTTTGAAGGGTCACTCACATGAAGTCAAAACTCACATGGTGTAATACAAAAACTCAAGTGTATCTTTTATTGAGTTAATTCACCTTATATCTGTCACCTCTCCTAACTGATTTGGTTCTTGTCTCCAGGAATCTTTATTGTCAATTATGTCTCAGTAATGTTTTTTTGATATACCCGATATACCATCTCATTTTGTGCTGTAATCTGTCTAGCATATAATAATAATATTTATTTTCTTATATAGCGCATTCCATTTTTTACATTTCAATGCACTTTACAAATAATTAAAAAGTCTAAAAATAACAATACTAAAATACTTTAACATTTACTGATAAAATTAATTAATTAATTAAAGAAAGCAGAGAAAATTTATTGATATAACTTTAAAATACTACTAAAATTAACCCAAGCTCACTCTTAATAAATGATAAACAACTAAAAGGTTTAAAGGAACACTAACCATAAAATTCTTTAAAAAGATGAGTTTTAAGACAGGCTTTAAAAGTATTATATAAATAAATAAACATTGACTAGTTTAGATTCAGCAGTCAGTTTACTAGTATGGTATGCCGAAATGAAAATGAATGATGTCTAGTAGAGTTTTTGTAATATTTCCCTTAAAAAGAGCAACATATGAAGACTTGAGTATTATATGTAATTTCAATGATAGTAAATACGTACACCAAGTACTTCATACTATCATTTAAAAGTTTGGCCTGAGAGGTGTAAGAAAGGGAAAACTATTACTATAGGTAATGTCTCCCTTAAGAGCCTTGCTTTTTCAATACTTATATAGAGTATTTGTGCAATACTTCATTCTAATTCTAAAATTTCCAATTATTTTAAGAATAACAGCAACTTCCTGCTTGTAGGCTGACAGAACCCAGGTCCTTGCAGATCTATCCAGAGCTCAAGATGAAAGAGACAAATTGCGATTAGAAGTTGATAAATATAAAGAATGTGACCCAGAAGTTTTAGAAGCTATGAAGAAAGAGGCACTTATTGCCAAAGAAGCTGCTAACAGATGGACAGGTACAACATATCAGATCTCATTGATGTGATTGCTGATGCAAAATTGCTTAGATGGTTTGGTTACAAGAGGTCTTAAATGTTGGAATATGTAGTCTGTGTTGGGAATGGGGAAATAAAAAATCAGGTACTTTTATATGAGGGGCTTTATCATTCTGAATTGGGAAAGACAATTAGATTTGCAGGACCATATGAAAACAAAAAATTATGACTTTGCATCAGTTTCAAGCAAGGATAATTGGTATATCCAGCATAAATTATGAGGATGAAGATATGAATAAGACAAGAATTGCATTGTCATTTATGTAATTTCTTTATTGTGATACATATTTTTTCTTTTTTCAGATAATATCTTTGCCACAAAATCTTGGATCAAAAGAAAATTTGCTTTTGAGGACAGTGTAATTGACAAGCAATTTGGAATACCAGAAGACTTTGACTATTTAGAGTAAAATTTAAAACTGTCAATATCCAGTAGAGAACAGTTCATTGAATATTTCTTTCATCAGATGCCTAAGTTACACAAAAAGCACAGAATAAACCTTGAGACTTTCTTAATAATTTATTCTGTCCTCTAATCAGTTTAAACACATTTAATCTGTAATGCAAAACCTGACTGTTCCATACCCTCTACCAGGGCGACAGATTGATTTTTCACAAGATATTCACAGATAAGTCTCTAGATAAACAGACAGACATTTGGCTCTGTCACCCCATGCTACAATCTCAAGGCTGATTACATGGCTGGTAATTGTTTGCATAACTGCGCAGGCACTGCCACTTAACAGACCCAATCTAAGTACCCTTGACAGCAATAAAGACAGTGAATCGCTTTGACCTTAATCACTTTCTCTTTAGTGACAGATAAAATTAGCCCCTTAGTAACAGCTTGTTACTTCAGATTGAAGTTAACTGAGGAATATCCTGTAGTAGCTCCCTACAGAGTGGGCACACTGCTATATGCGTGCAGGCAGATTAAATTGCTTTCCTCTGGCCAAAAGCCACAGGGTGCTGTTTTCAAGATTTCCCTTTCATATCTGCCACCCTAGTAGAGGGTAACTGATCCATCTTCTAGTCTGAGGGAATATATGGCCACAACTACATGTACCCTGCTTTAGGAAGGGTGAATGCAAGTGAATAATCACTGCATACCAAGGGTGGAATGTTCCAACATGCTGACTGGTTCCAATCACAATACACATCTCTAGTATTAGTGTAAATTACTTATAAGTCATGGAAAAATAAAAACAAATAGCAGTATTTATAAAACCTTCCAAACAATTCAGGAAATTTACAATATCCTGAAACTGAACCTGTAAATCAATTTGGCTTAATGCACAGTAAATTACCACATTAAAATTAAGACATAAATTGCCTATTCTAATATACAAGAAATTAATGAGTACTGTTATTTTTGCTTTGGCACTTGAAAGAACTATCTTGGGTTATTATTAAATGAGTATTTTTTATTTGAAACATATTGAAATTTTAATATGATATGCACATTTTATTCATTTAAATTACAAATGGTAACAAACACTTTCACACATTACACCAAATAATCTGGGACTGATCAAAAGTTTGGCCCCTGGGAGGTACAATGCTACTGTGGAATTCATTTCAAAACAGTGTCACCTGCTTTAAATATATAATATAGTAAATATATGCACCATGTTTGTTTTGCACTCTTTTTAATGGCGAAAGGCTGCCACAGCATGTTGAGACAGTTTTTGGAAATGCCCTCATTGCTGTTGAGTCCTCCTGTTGGGCCGTATAGGTCGATATAGATACACAGCCACAATTACATACAATGCTGCCAAGCCCAGAAGCACTCCTAGTGTCAGACCTACAATTCAATAATATTGGCCATAATGTTATTATAACATTCAATGCATAACATGCATTAAAGAGTTTGCTATTGCGTGGAAGCAAAATGATGTAGCTGGGAAACAATTGGCTATACCAAGTACAAAGAAATATATTTTTTTTTTACTTTCAAAATCTAGTTTCTTGTGATGAGGTTTATCTTAACTTACAAAATATTCATGATTGGGATTATTTGTCATTACAGTGTTTTAAGGTAAATAAAATGGTTATTACAGTGTTTTATAAGAAATTATAGCATTTGTACTTCATGTGAACCATTGCTGGTAAAATGTTAATGAAAAAAAAAATTCTAATATTGGATCTTACGTTGAAACACAGTTCAGGATATTTCCACCTTACTGCAAAGCCTACTTCAGGTGAACTGAATTTGATTTGTCACTGGTGTCATGTGGTGACAGTCTGTGAAAGATGTCTCCCAGGGCCTGGTCCCACAGATGTGGTAGTTGGTATCTCAGATCACCATGCTTGTTGAGGGTAGGTTTGTTCAATCTGGTGATAAATGGCCTCCAACTCTTCTGTCACCATGTAAGGCCAGTGACGACTAAAAATCAGTTCACCTGTAGAGGGTCTTGTGATAAGGTTGAAGCACTGTAATCTCCATTTCAACAAAAAATCCAGAATTTTTTTACATTATCTCAACATAATAAGGCTGGATGAAGCCAAACTTTTAACTTGATATTACTAGCACAAAGTTCACCTAGTTTTTGTTTCTTCAGCACTTCAATAACATTATTTCCATGTTCAGGATCACTCGCTATCCCGATCATATCTTGATCAACGCGTTGTTGTGGTATGTTGAATTTCTTTTTTGTTTTCAAACACCTGAATTAAAAAAATGAGTGACAGCATTATGGATTATGTAGTACAGTAATGTACAAATAGAAGTTTTTATCTTCTTTTTCTTTAATTGCCACTTGGGATAATACGTATTTTTCTTACTTACGTGAATATTTGCCTTTGGAATGTTGAAAATAATTAAACAAGATCACTGGGCCAAAATAAACGTTATCGAACAGGAAGGCGAGATATTTCTGTATGCTTCCTAGTTGACCTAGTTTTTAAATAGGTCATTGACAGGCTCGCAGTTTCCGTTCCATTTTCGTTTATTTTCAATAAAATATTTTTAGAGAAAATAATTCACGTAAATTTTATTTTTTAAAATATATTTTTTTCATTCTACGCTTGCATAAAAAAGTGAGCAATTTTAAGACAAGAGAAGGAAAACGGTTTGCATCTGTCTAACCCTTTTTTGCCGTGACCAGTAGAACGTAGGTTGTTCCAAGGACGAAAGTGACAGATCCTTTCCAATATGTTACGGTCGAAGGTTTTGATTCAAGGGGTAATGCCAGCAATGAAGGGTGCACTAGAATTACAGTATATGGTCAGATCATGTGGTGTAGTTCGTATGTTATGTGCTCCGAATGTTGGCTGCGGGCAAATTGTCCCAAAAAGAAGAGTTTCGAGCACTGGTAAAAGCAGCTCTAAAGGACACAAAGACTTAGTCTGTAACACGAGAATCAGAGGGATTGACATTACAAGAGACCCCAAACTTAACAAGGTAATGATAAAGTCAAATTCATTTATGCGTTTTATTACACAATAACATGATGAATTCAAATGTAATTTGCACGTACACTCGATACTATTATATATTATTTGTACCGGATATACCGGCCGGTATACTGGAATTAAAATGAATTTCATGCAGTGGCACTCCTGTTTGTACGGTTTCTGATATGTACTAGTTGTACTAAAACAGATTAAAGAGTAACCACATGGAGCATATAACAGATAACATAAATAGGATAATGCTAATGCATGAATTTTCGTGGCGTATGGGTATGCATGTGCAGAAAACATTATTATATACAGTGTATATTTATTTACTTATTTCTTTAGTTATTTGTTCATTTATTTATTATATTAATACAACATGTGATTGTATTTTTTACCAGTAAAACAATTCTCTTCTATTATTAAAAAACATGGTTGGATTATCAGTTTTGCACCAATATTTTGTGAAATTTCCATTTTGAATTAGCTTGTTACTGTACTTGTTCCTAATTTTTTCCCTCTCAGGGAATGGCCTTCACATTGAAGGAGCGCCAAGTAATGGGTCTCCAGGGTCTCCTGCCCCCAGCAATCATCCCCCAAGATCAGCAGGTTTATCGAACAATGCAGAACTTTTACCGAAGAGAAAATGATCTGGACAGATACATCTACCTTACAGCTTTACAGGAGAGAAATGAGAAGCTATTCTACCGTGTCCTTACAGAGAATGTAGAACTAATGATGCCTGTTGTGTATACACCTACCGTGGGCTTGGCTTGTCAGAAGTTTGGCTTGATCTACAGGAAACCAAGGTAGACGTTTGGTGTGACAGAATCATTATGAATGTTTAATTAAATGTGACATGTACAGCTGTATATGCTATCATAAATGATTTTTCCATTTATCTAGATAATTGATTTGGCAGATTAATATATATGACACAAGGCCTTTGTACTGTAGTACAAAAAGTCAGGCAGCTGTATTTAAGTACTGTAATTGATGGTTTTAATGCAGAAAATTATTCTTGAAATCCAATTTACAATTACAGGGGCCTATACATAACAGAGCACGATAAAGGGCATATTTATTCTATCCTTTGCAACTGGCCAGAAACAGATGTAAAAGTAGGTGAACAATTAAGTATATTTAGGTTGCATATTAAGAATTTTCTGCGAAAACCTCATACTTAAATTTTCCTGGGGCACACAATATTTTTCTCCAAGTGACTTTGATCCTCCTTTTCTGACACTTGCCATAACTTTGTTAAAAATCTGAAAAAAAGTTTAATAGTCTTTATCCCATTCTAAAATATGGGTTATTCAAATTATATCATACCTCACACTAACTTCCTGGTTGTGCACAATTCAAATCCAAATTATTGATGGTGGTGAGGTATGTCACAAGGTGATAAATTAGATTATTTTTGATGAAATGAATACTTAGCATTTATCTGATAAAATTATAATATGACATTATTAATATTAATAAATTTATGTAATTTATTTATATATTTATTTCATTATTTTCATTTAATTATAATCAGTTCACTTATTGCCAAGGCCATTATTTATAAGATACAAAACACACTGTATATCACAGGAATAATACAATGATAGTTAAGTTAATGCAAAAAAGCATTTGCATTTGTTGTATGTATTATTGTGCTTGGTGTGTGCAATGAACAACCAAACAAACAATTTCCAGGCTATTGTGGTAACAGATGGAGACCGTATCCTGGGCCTGGGTGATCTTGGGGCCTATGGAATGGGGATTCCAGTGGGAAAACTATCCTTGTACACGGCTCTGGGAGGCATCAAGCCACACCAGTGCCTTCCCATCCTTGTGGATGTAGGAACTAACAATCCTGTAAGTGCCACAAGTTTTAATCTTTCAAAACATGTATTAAAAAGTACTTCCTTTGTATTCAGCTAGAATTAAATACAGTAGTTTATTATATGTAAACTAAGCAAGGCATCTGATGTCTGCATATGTATGATGTTTGAATCTGTAATAAAGTTGACTACATTGAGTGTTGCAAATCATGGCCAGCTATGGTTTACAGAAATTAGATTAATCATTATTGTTTTAATTTCCTTGCAGGATTTGCTTGATGATCCACTGTATATTGGTTTGAAACAACGTCGAACCAGGGGAGATACCTTTTATGATCTGCTTGATGAATTTATGGAAGCAGTTGTTAGGAGGTAAAAAATATGATAAAATGAGAAGATGAAAATTTATCTTATCGAAATCACAAAGAAGGATACTGTTATAACTGAACCAAGACTTTGACCAATGTTCGATTAGGTATTTATGTCCATTAAAGAACACATGGTTAAAGGCAATGTTTTAAAAGTGTGTGTATATATTCCTAGTATCTTCACTTTTCTTAGGTATGGTCAAACTTGTTTGGTGCAGTTTGAAGACTTTGGCAACCAAGATGCTTTTACTCTGCTGGAAAGATATAGAAACAGATATTGTACTTTTAATGATGACATCCAGGGTAAGGTTGGGAAAATGTGTTGTTAGGAATATATATTTATCCTCCTTATCACTTATGCTAAATAAAAAAAAGAACTTATTTAAAGAATTTGCTTACATCGACAGGACAGCCAATGTCACCCCTTTCCTCCATTTGCTTCAAATGTAGTGTATGTGGTGTACATGTATACTGTAGGAGAGTGCAGAAACCACAATTTTACGTATAATTGATTGAATTGTCAATATTGCTAAATTGCTAATCCTTTTCTTGAATTAGCTTTGCTATTCTCAAAGATATCACCATTCTTGTAATATTTTAATGTTAAAGAACATACACTTCTACAGTGCTAGCCAGCTTGTAGGAATTTCATATCACACATTTTGAAGCGTTTGCAGCAGAGAGTACAGCTGAACATATTTGGATTATTGTAGTTTCATTTACAGTGCCTTTCTCTCTGAACTCTAGTTTCATTTTGAATAAATGTTGACATTTTGAAATTAATTGGTATGTATTCAGAAGGAAGCAATATAGTGTTTTTTATAATGATCCAACCATGAAGATTTGCTCCTTTAAATAGCATATCTTATGCGCAGCATGCAAGGTTAACTGTTATGTGTTATGTGTTAACTGTTATGTGTCTTTGGCTGGGGAAAGGGCCACTTTGAAAAAAATTGCCAGTACCAAAGCTCATGTAGGTTTACCAGTGAAAGGGTCCATTGTGAAAAAAAAGACCCCCCTTTGACATTGCTGGCCAAAGGCCTGTGATAAGTGTAGACATTTTTGTTTGATTTGTGTTAGTTTACTTATTTTTTTTTATGTATAGAAATATGTGTATCTTACCTGACATTTTTAGTATTTGTACACAATTGTTCACAGTTAAGCCCCCCCCCCCCCCTCTTTTTGGTTCAGTTATTATTATTAGACTTAATCCAGTGTGGTGTGAAATGTATATATATATGTTGTGATGTGTTCTACATTTCACATCACCTGCCACATTACATTTTTAAATATTATACCAACTTCAAATGAATGCAATACCTCAGCACCCTTCTCAGGTCCACCTTTCGTGGCTCCTTATGTACACCCTGTTTTCCAACTTCTCAACCTTTACCAGTTTACACCAATCCCCAGATGCCAGAAGTAAATTATTTAAAGTGTTTTTATATAGCATGTTTGTAGTGAATGTTATAAGCTTACTACAAGAAAATATCCCTATGTGTAGGTACTGCAGCTGTAGCTGTAGCCGGGGTATTAGCTAGTCTAAGGATCACCAAAACTAGGCTCTCAGACAATGTGTTCCTGTTCCAAGGGGCAGGGGAGGTGAGTATATCAAGTATATATTACATATTTTCAGCACATTCAGAACAGATGATCTGTGGACTAACTGATCTGACAACTAGATATGGCTGACCCCACTCCAACAGTGATCGGCTGGTTCCCTAATGTCCCCCCCCCCCTCCCCATGTTCCCAACCTCCACAGCCTTCGCTGCAGGGGCCAACCAGTTAAACCTTGGAATCAAGATTTAAGCTGTTTAATTGCACATGTGGAATTAGCTGTATCACTTTTAAAGTGGGGTTGGCCACATTTAGTCAGCAGATCAGATAGTCCATGGATCATCGGTTCTGAATGCACTCTGCACTCTTAGTGTGTGCTCACTGACAGACAACTGCACAGTAGCTGCTTTCACATGCACAAGAACATTTTTTCCACATTTTTCTTTTTGTAGAAAAAATAGAGTTGATTAATTTTTTGGCTAAAATTAGGCAGTAATGTTTAAATGATTATTTATTTTGCATCTTATATGTTGTCATATTTACATACACATTTGTTTTCAATTTATCTCCTAGCAACCACAGATTCATTACAATTTTGTTCGTATGTATAAATCTGTTTACAATGTTTTTGCCATGAAGGCATCCATAGGTATTGCCAATCTCATCGTGATGGCTATGATGGAGGAAGGGACGTCAAGAGAACAAGCTCTGGAGAAAATATTTTTAGTGGACTCCAAAGGACTCATTACAAAGGTTTTTTGTAATTTCATTCCTTACATTATAGAAATATAAGCAGGTATTCTAGGCATAACTTTTTTTATTTTTTATTAACTTTTAAAAACCTTTTACTGCATTTTACTTTACTATTTAAAGCATGGGNTTGGATCATCGGTTCTGAATGCACTCTGCACTCTTAGTGTGTGCTCACGACAGACAACTGCACAGTAGCTGCTTTCACATGCACAAGGATATTTTTTCCTCATTTTTCTTTTTGTAGAAAAAATAGAGTTGATTAATTTTTTGGCTAAAATTAGGCAGTAATGTTTAAATGATTATTTATTTTGCATCTTATATGTTGTCATATTTACATACATACACACTTGTTTTTCCATTTTTCTCCTAGCAACCACAAATTTATTACAATATTGTTCATATGTATAATCTGTTTACAATGTTTTTGCCACGAAGGCATCCATAGGTATTGCCAATCTCATCGTGATGGCTATGATGGAGGAAGGGACGTCAAGAGAACAAGCTCTGGAAAAAATATTTTTAGTGGACTCCAAAGGACTCATTACAAAGGTTTTTTGTAATTTCATTCCTTACATTATAGAAATATAAGCAGGTATTCTAGGCATAACTTTTTTTATTTTTTATTAACTTTTAAAAACCTTTTACTGCATTTTACTTTACTATTTAAAGCATGGATTTTTAAGATGAAATTTCTGCTTGAATATAAGATTATGACCCTCAAAAATAAATATCACAACAAAGTTAGTTCTTGAAATGTTAAAGAAAGATGGAAATTTTGGGGTTCCTAATGAACATCAGTTGTAATATTATTATTTATTTCTGTTTCAGGATAGACCATCTGGTGGCATCACTGAGCACAAGGCACCATTTGCCAAGAATATGCAGCACATAGGGGACCTAGGACAGATTGTCAAGGCTGTCAAACCCACTGCACTGATTGGTATGTCATCAGTTGAACACAAAACCATTTGTATTATGCTAAGACTGGGTTCCCATACCTAGATCGATCTAACAGGATCGATCCATCTCTGAGCTGTCAGCTGAAGTAGCTTAGATGTCTGACATGCCTACTGAAGCTGCTAATCGATAATTAATTAATTACCCCCTAACAGTAGGAGTGACAGACATCTAAGCCACTTAAGTTGATTGCAATTTAGTGAGAATCCCCTTCGAGATAGATCAATCCACAGTTAGTACAATATGGTCTGGGAATGGTCCCTTAGTCTGGAAGTACAATATGGTCTGGGAATGGTCCCTTAGTCTGGAAAAGTGGCGACACACATTTGGAAGGTTTATGGTGGTCAAACATGATACGTGCACTTAATGTTTTTGTGTGATACTGATATTAGTGTCAGGATGAATAATTACTCCAGATTTTTTTGATAAAACAACCACTTGATAAGCTGTTGTGTTTATGCACGACATGTTTATTACTGTTGGTATTATACTTATGATAAAATGATATGCATATGCATGTTATTTCTAATATATAAATCTATTTTAATGAGTTTGTTTTTTAATTTTAATATACAAACTAAGAGCAGAATACCCATAAAAACAGTAGATTAGCCTTACAAATAAATTACAACACAGATACTTTATTTGAATTTTATAACATATTATGCTGTGTTTGCAGGTGCTGCAGCTATTGCAAATGTTTTTACTGAAGAAATAATTCGTGACATGGGCTCTTTTAATGAGAGACCAATCATCTTTGCACTGAGTAACCCCACCAGCAGTGCAGAATGTACAGCTGAGGAGGCATATAGATACACTGAGGTAAAGTGCACTTGGGAAACAATTGTTTATTCATATATTTAAAAATACAGATAGGGATAATAATGCATAGTAAAATCTACTTAAACAGATCCTAGAATATGAAAGGAAATTTTTTCTAGTTTTGGGAAGGTCCATGCCACTGTTCTATTTTCATAATATTACTGTCTGTGAATTCATTTACATGAAACCTGCTGCACAAATTTTTGTAGGGTCGCTGTGTGTTTGCCAGTGGAAGTCCATTTGATCCAGTGACAGTAGATGGGAGAACATTCTTCCCTGGTCAGGGCAACAATGCTTACATTTTCCCAGGAGTTGCGCTCGCCACGATAGCCTGTGGCATCAGACATATATCTGATGAGGTGTTTCTCAAGTCTGCAGAGGTAGGTACCTGTAGCTTAATGAACTAAATGGCCATTAAAATTTTGATTTTGTAATTTCCTGTTTAATAAGAGGCATTTATTTTAAGGCTATTCTTCAACCAATGATGCTCTATGTTTTACAGTAAGGTTTTAGTTTCAAGTAAACATTGTTATTGCACTTTTGAAATATTATATGTTATAATTTGAACATCTGATAGAAGGCAGCAGTTACAAAGCATGTAAAAATGCTTCATTGGCTATCATCAGGTGCAGGAAACTCCATATATATATATATATAGGTATGTAGGTATCAAAAGTGACTAGAATAAAATAATCAAGCATTGTCTGTCGAATATTCCAGTATCTAGCTGCAATGGTGGACAACGAGCACCTGGCTGAGGGCCGAGTGTATCCTCCATTGTCTGACATCCAGAAAGTGTCCACAGAAATAGCCACCAAGCTGGCAGAGTATGCATACAAGAAAGGGAATCTTTGTGCCCACTATCCTGAGCCGAAGGACAAAGAAGCCTTCATTAAATCTCACCAGTATTCCACAGATTATGAAAGCTTCCTGCCAGATATTTATGATTGGCCAGGGCATGAGAGTCAACTGTAAATTCTTGACCTGTCATGTAACATTGCCATTATTGGCTTGTGCAAGGTTTGAGTGCAGTTCTACATTTATTTCTATGTTTTGTTTCAAGCACTTTTTTCTGGATTAAGCAGACTATCAGGTAATAAAAAAACAAAAACTTAAAGCTAGGTTTGTTATGTGAGATTCGGTTGTGCTTAAGAATATTCAGGAAAATTAGATCCCTACTTCTTTGGCATCTTGTGGAAGGTTTTGTTTAAATCTCATCTTAGCTTTGCCGCAACTGAAACTGTCAGCATTTTTTACTGGCTCTATGGCTGCACCTAATCTAGTATTTCTCAAGATATTAATAATCATCCCTTTCCCCCCCCCCCCCCCTCCCAAACACACACACCAAGAAACATTATATTAGAAAAACACTATTTTCCAAAATGTGTGGATCTAATTTTCATGCCTTTCAACGGGAGCTGTCTATAGATCCAATTAAACTTTAATTTAGTTGGCTGGAAACAATTATATTAATTTATTTCATTCAAAGCTGGCTCTTTTCATGTTTTAAGCTGATGTTTCATTTCTACAAGCAGAAAAAGTTTATTAGAGATGCATTATCATAACATTTCACTTTTTACCAGAATTTAACAGTCATTTTCTCCCGTTTCTGCAAAATATACATC